TGAATACTGGTCTTTGAGGAATATCGACCCCTCCTAAGATCATATGAATCACATGTTGTGGCTCTTCCTACTCGTTTTGCCTATTCGAATCCATGTTTTTGAAGTGGTTCTTGGCCCGGTCACTTAAGAATTCTCGAAGGTGACCCTCGTTGAATAAATGAGCTACCTCCTCCCTCAGCTGTCTGCAGTCTTCGGTTTTATGTCCATGGGTACCATGGTACTTGCATATTTGATTAGGGTTCTTTGAGCTGGATCGGTCTGTTGGGGTCTGGGCCATCTAGTATCCTTGATCCGTCCAATGGCCAACATGATACCTGATGCATCGATCCTGAAGTTGTATTCTGACAGTTGTGGTGCTTCTGTGGGCTCGACATGTTTATCGAAGCCACTTTTACTCATGAGCCCTCGGGAGCTTTGTCCTCGATCATTTCGAATGGGATTATGTCCTGGGCCGCTGTTTTTACGATTTGAGTTGTATGGTTGGAACGATCTCTGTTCGATCGGGGTTCTCTGTTGATGTCCTTTTGAGCCGACGGCCCTATTCGAGTAAACGGAACCGGAAGGGGTTCCCAATTGATCATCCTTGACCCTGATCTTCGACTGATATCGATTAAGCACATCGGCCCAGGTCACAACTGGATATTCAATTAAATTCTGCTTTAGTTCTCGTGATGCTATTGAACTTCACTCGTTCAAGCTTGAACAACCTAATCATCTGTGACCAGGGTTAGGTCCATGTGTTCCATCTGGAACCAAGATACGAATTCCCTTAATATTTCATTGTCTTTTTGTCTCACTTTGAAGAGGTCCAACTTCCTAGTCGCAACCTTTATTGCTCCGGCGTTTACCTTCACAAACGAATCTTCAAGCATGTCGAAGGAATTGATGGAATTGGGCGGCAAATTGTGGTACCATATCATCGCTCCTTTCGATAAAGTCTCTCCAAACTTTTTCAATAGAACGGATTCGATCTCATCGTCTTCTAATTCATTCCCCTTTATGGCGCATGTATAAGAAGTAACGTGCTCATTAGGGTCGGTGGTCCCATTGTATTTGGGAATTTCTAGCATACGGAATTTCTTCGGGATGGGCTTCGTAGCCGCACTTGGGGGGAAAGGCTTATGCACAAACTTTTTCGAATCCAAATCCTTTAGAATTGGGGGTGCCCCCGGTATTTGGTTAACCCATGAGTTGTACGTTTCTACCTTTTTGTCATTAGCCTCGATTTTCTTTTCACCTGATTCGATCCGTTTAGTGAGCTCCTCAAGCATCTTCATAAGGGTCGGGGGGGGGGGGGGTTCGTCCCCGATTCATTAGCGTTTGATTTCTCTGGTGCAGGTTCAACTCTACGAACGACCTCTTGCGATGTTTCGAGCTCAATCATGCTTGGTGCTCGATTCTGATTTTGGAGTTGCGTTATCGCAACTTGTTGAGTCTGCAACATTTCGAATATCATTCAAAGACTAATTTCGCCATCTTCACCACTCTGTGCATTCTGATCGGCTGCTCGGGCATCTCTACGGATGCTATTTTTAGGGTCGACGCCCAAATTCCCATTAATGGCTATACGAGATCTGACATGGACTGGGTCTACAGCCGGTGGTCCATTGGGGTTGACTGGAGGTACTCCGTTTCCCGGGGAGACTATGTTTTCATTCTCGCAATGAAGACCGAGGTCGTTGTCTGTGTGAGTGGGTGCTACTTGAGAGTTTGACATGTTGATTTCTGAAATCAAAGACAGTTACCGGAACAAGCGTAAAGCAGTGTGTGTTATGGGAATTAATACCAGGCAATCACTATTATCCTTAGCCCCACGGTGGGCGCCAAGCTGTTTACCCTAAAAATTGGATAACAATTAAAATTATAATGTGGTTTTAAGGACACGTGATTTCACCTAATATCAATTGATGAATATGAAGATTAGTAATAGAAATTAACAATAAGATAAGGCAAACCAGTGTTTGAATGGGATTCAGCCCTCGAGTTTGAATACCCTCGAACTGATCGATGCAAGAACAGTTAAAAATATAACAATCTGATGAACAAGAATATAAGCTATAAAGTATTGTATTTCTTTGATATGCGTGGATGTAAGGTGTTTACAAAATGATTAGAACCCTCTTTATTTAGTAGAGGAATCCTATCTATGGTGCAATTCCAATTACAGAAGTAAATTCCATGATTAGCCTAAACAATCGCCCTTCATTTGATCTGTTCCAGGATTTTCGCTGTGATCTTCGACCGGTCACAGATATCCTGCTTTCCGTTATTGCGCTTTGCTCGAAGTCTGCCATATTTGTTCTCGATCGCTGCTGGCCTCGATCTCGACAGGCACCTCGATTCTCGAACTCGATACCTTGTCTTCGTGCTCTGGTCTGATCCACTACGAGGCTGACCTTCGATGCAATTCCCTTGTCTCGATCAAATAGTAAAATCGGGTAGGCCCGATTTTAACCGTATACAATTACCTAATTTGATGGAGAGATTATGAGTTCACGTGCCCCATAAACTACCCTATAAGTCAGCCCTTGTATGCTGATACTTGCCAATATAAACAAGCACAAATACATAAGCTTATTAATGTAATAAGATTTGTTATTCATAGTTATGTGTTATGCTAATAAGTTGTAAATTTACTACCCTGAATGTCCTCTATATTTTTTCCTATTTCTCTTTATAATTTGTTTTCTTTGCTCCAATCAAATTTTTTCTAATTAAACTATATTTACTTAAAAAGATATAAACATTTTTACCAATTGAATTTTGGTTCTTTCATTCATAGATTTTGCTAAAACATGAGAGGGTATTTGTGAGATTATTTATAGTTTGTAATTTAAATTAATTCAGAGTACG